AAATAAATTTTCCTTGTTACAACCAGTTGCAATATTTTTACCGTTTTCTTACTTTCCTGAAGCCCATGCTCCTTACTATTGAAAAAAACGATGTTTTTTATGACATGTTCTTTATGTTTAGTATTGAGATAGGTTTCCAATTTTTACTATTTCATGGCCTTGTTGGACAATATCTCATAACAAAACCCACTAGTGGTAGTTGTTTTCAGGACCTAGACATGTAAAGCCAATTGACCAACTTTCCTTGCTGTAACAGTGACACTTTTTAAGATGACTGGAATAGGATGCACCCTTTTGCTTTGAATAGGATGCACCCTCATCAACAGCATCAGTTCTTTTACATTGCAAATTCAGCCAGCAGTCTATTCGGAGGCTTAGCCAGAATGTACTATTACCATATTCTCAGCGATAATATCGAAAGGTCACTTTGCCCAACAATAACTAGATGGTTTTATTAGCAGAAATTGAAGAAGAAACACGGTCACTAAGTCCATCTGAACATTCACTCACACTGACACTGACTGACTCTGACTCTTTCTTCCTGTGGCTTCTGTCTGCTCATTAGCAAGAAATGTCACATGCTTTCAGCCATTCAGCATCATTTACTTGCATGTTCTCACCATGTGTAGAAATATCAAACAGTTATTTGCTATCAAACAGGCATTTTCACAACCCATTTTTCTTTTTTTGTTTTTAATGGAGGTGGTAGATTAGGAAAGCCAAGTTTTACTTTAACAACAATGGAAGTTAAGATTTTGTTCCTTCCTTCCTTCCTTCCTTCCTTCCTTCCTTCCTTCCTATTTTAACTGCAAAATATCATAGCATTTCTTCAAGCCTTCTCAGACCCTCTGTGAGGACATCGGAGCCCCCCAGGGGTCTACGGAGCACAGGTTAAAGAACCTAAGATTCTGGTTCTAGTTTCATAGTTACGTACAGTACATTCTAGACTGATTCTTCATGCTTTTTTTCCTTTGCCTGCTGTGATGTAGTGGTGGGCAGCCCTTAGTTCTCCAGATGTTTTTAGACAGTGGTTCCCCTAATTTCTATGTGGCATGGCCAGTGGAAAAGAATGATGGGAGTTGCAGTTCAGCAACATCTGAAAAGCATAAGTGACCAGCCCTTGAGCAGTAAGTACTTCTGCTTTCCAGAATACTCTTAACTGGCTTTATCTGAGATTGCCTTCTTAAAAGGCTACTAATAATACTCTGTTGTGTTTTATATTGCAAACATATGAAGCAGTGTGTGTGTGTGTGTGTGTTTATTACAGTCCTTTGACCAATTAAAAACAATTACAGTTTCAACCTTCCAGCATAAAAGCACAACAAAATTACCACTTAGTTTAAAATCCATTTAAAACCTTGCAGTTTAAATCCAAGGGTTATGAAGCTGTATATTTTCACCCCTTTCTTATCTTCTTCCTGAAGAGATATTATCATCTGACACAGAAACAGAACTGAGGGTATTACAGAATTTGTTCCTCACCCATCTTCCCCAATAGCAGAAATAGACATGGAACAGTATATTATTTTATTTCAATTATTTATATGCTACCTTTCACCCCAAGGGGGAACCTTTGAGGAGAGATAATAATTACTCTGCCTAAAATCATGATCTCCTGTACAATTTTAATTGAAACTACTTGTATTCAAATAAATTGGTTTCTTTTAAAAGCAATTTTACATAGTTGTGATAGGCAGATTTTCAGTATAGGGGTTAGGGGATTGATCATTAACTTCTCTGAACACTGAAATGCTTCATTTATTTAGCAAACAAGAGTGCAGGGAAGTAAGTCTAATGCTGCTGTGTAAATTGCACTAGCCTTTCTGTATCCATTTGTTGAGTGTGCTGTCTGTATGTTCCACTCTGCTTCAGCAATTGTTTGGCCTTTGCTCTTGCTGGTTTAAGGTGTGGCTGGCTGATTCAGGTTGTTCTCTTTCCCCTGCTTACCTGAAGATTTGCATGTTTGACCAGGCGGAGTAATTGGGCCCACAGCAACCTGGGCGTGCCTCTCTGAGAAACACTTGGTTTCATGTATGACTCATAAACTGAAGCACAGACACCACTTCCCTAATCTACAGTAGCCATTTTAACTGCACTAAACTGTTGGACTTGTTATTACTGTTTTGTCTTTGGATCTTACAATTTAGATCAAGGTAATTTTGGCTGGCTTTGTTTGTAATGTGTCTGTAACTTGAGTTTATTAATTTTAGCAAAGGATTAAATGTACCTGCTGAGTTTTTAAAAACTAACATGGGTATGTGCTTTTGACTTGATTAATAAATGAAACTGAACAGGCGATAGGGAATGGGGACAGAGAATAGATGATAGAGTGTCTAATATTTAAAGGTTTTATTTGACATAAAAGTGTAATTTCTTTCGAGATGATTGGAACTGTAAAAACTAAAACAACTTCTTGTAGCGCAGATAGTTTGATTGGATGAAAAGTAAAAATGGTTTTAAGAGGACTTACCAACCTGGGTGGTTCATCTCAAAACCCAAAGTGCTTTTAATGTTTTGAATAAGAAGAATGTAAATGAAAGAAGTTGTGGAAAGTACATGTTGTTTATTAGAAATAAATATACGTCAGGTATAACTTTTACGTCAAAGCTAAATGCATTCTTCTTTACAGAACAGCAAGTTGAGTAGATTGTTGTATGTGTAGTTTTTTAAAGCATGGAATAGCGTGGTCTGCACCAATGCCTTAAATGGAACATTACTGAAATTAGTAGTTAAGGGCTTATTTTTGATTATATCTACTGGAAAAAATAGAATAACTTTCCTGTTACGTTTTCTGTAATTTATCATTTATTTTTGTTATGCTACAAGAGTTAGTCTCCAGTTGTCCTAATTTTGTTAAGCTGATATTGCTTTGTTATTGCAGATTTTAGCTATCTTATTTTGCAATATGTGCTGTATTGCTGAAAGGAGGTTTGTGGTGACATTTAGCAAACCCCTTGTGCTGGGAACTGAGCAGTAGAAATACTCTGTTTTGTTTCTATGGGAGGAGAGGCAGTGAGATAGATAGACTTGAGTTTTAAATTATTTGTCATCTAACTTTAACCTGAGAAAATACTATTTTCCATAAAGGGTATTATAAGGATGGGGTTTTCCCTGTCCTTTCTTGAGGGTAAAATTTATTGTATCCTTAGCTGAAGGCTTGCCTGAAAAGGCCAAACCTCTTTTATTTCCCTTTTTCAGCTTGTTCAACTTTTAAATTTGGATTAATTTTTCAAAACAGGAGTAAATTCCAGAGGAAAGGCTGCGAGGAATGTTGTCCGTATGTGGTGACTACGGTGCTGTTCACTCTGATGGTACATTAAGAGTTCCTTACTACCACTATTACTAAGATGTGTGACGGAGTGGATAAAATGTATTCTATCCTGTTCACTTTGGGGCACAGGAGCTTACATTTTTCTTTTTTGTTAGGTTCTCTAGTAACTTCCTCAGAGTTTAATATTTTAAGTTGTCAAACTTTTTAGCAGATTAACTTGTTTTTTTAACCCTGTGGGTTCCAGATAATCTCCATGTATGTTTGGAATGGAAAGATCTGTGCAGTTCTTCTCTGTAGCCAATAAAACTTTGGGAATTTTTTTCTTAAACAGCAGCCTGTCCTCCAATTTAAAAACCAATTTAGAATAGGACAAGTCTGTGCATGCTTTTCAAAGGACATCATTTTTACAAAGGAGAGGAAGTCCTTATGTGTGACAAAGATAGGTCTTTGGATCCCAGCCTTAGGCCACAATGGATTTGATGCAGGATCTGGATTGGTAAATTGTGGAAATAGAGAATCATATCTGGTTAGTGGTGTTGAAGGAGAAATAAAACTCTGCTCTGTGCCATTAACACAGTCCACAATGTGAAATTTGGTGCCAGCCAGCCAATGCTTAAAAGGCCATTATCTTCATTGCAATATATTTTAACTCTTAGTACCCATCTGCAAAGGCAGGACACAGAGCTATTTTGCATCACAATAAATTGTCCCAAAAAGATTACATGGCCTAGCCATGTGCCACAAAGAGACAAGCCAGCTCTTAAAGTCTAAGGATGGATAGCTTTAAGTAGAAACTTAAAGTGGATGAGGATCCCCCCATGTCAAACAGTGCTATCAGGGAACCATATACAGTGGTACCTCTCTAAACTACAACCCCGCTAAACAATGAATCCGCATGATGATGACTTTTTGCGATCGCTATATGGGGGATTTTTGCTGGACGTCGATTAGGTCCGTGCTTCGCGATCCATTTGTTTGCAAGGCAACGATTTTTTTGGCTTCGCAAAATAGCTGCCCTGTGTTTTCCGGACCTATGCTTCGCATAGCCACTTTTACAGCTGATCGGCGCTTGCAAAATGGCTTCCCTATGGGTAATCTTTGCTGGATGACGAGGTATTTTCCCCATTGGAATGCATTAAACTGGGTTTCAATGCATTCCAATGGGGAAAGGGTTTTTACATGACAACGATTTCGCTAAACAGCGATTTTCCCAGGACAGATTATCGTCGTCATGCGGGGCACCAGTGTACAATAACTATATGCCTGTGTGGACAGGCTCTGGGTCAGCGTTCTCCTCAAACTGCTGTGTGTCCCATGGAGAGAACAACTAACATGCAGATCTATCTCATC